CTTCAGCCAATCCGGGAGTTTTGCCTCTTCGCGGCTGTCGTCATTATCACGGACTGGTTCATGCTTCATACATTCTTCCTTACCGTGAGTGTTTTCGCACGCACCTGGGCTGCCAACTACGTTCGCAAGTTCGGTGAGCTAATGCTGTCTTCAGGTTTTGTCCATTGACGCGCAACGACTCGAGCTGGCCGATGTCCTCGCCTCAAACGGTGTCGCTCCCCACTCACCAGTACAACCCAACACGAAGCCCGACGAACACGGTGAAGGCAAACAAGGAGGATTCAGCTGGAGGAGGATGCTGCGAGCGAGAACAACAAAGAGTGGAAGCTTAATCCTGGTGAGTTGGTCGTACGTTGTTCGCAGCAAACCTGAGCTCACGCCTCCAATAGCTACTTATGACTGTCGGACTCCTTTACTGGCTCACCGAGCGCCATCGTATCCCTCTCAACACCACCGCCAGTCTATATGGCTATACGCCACCGCTTCGCGGTAGCTCTACGCCAATCCAACCCTCCCAGCCAACACCATTTTTCACTACCCCACAAGACCTCCTCAAACTCACCCCTGCGGAGTCACTCTGGCGAGCGCTCAACCCGCTCGGATGGCCTTACGCACGAATCTTTGTCCCTCCCGCTTCCATTGTAGTCCTTCCCAAAGCGGGGCACCCTATGCGCCCGGCAGATATCCGAAAGCTGTCCTTGCCAGCTAGCAGGCTGCTCCTCCCCCGGCTAAGACCACTGTTCTACCTATTCAAAGTCGTTGTCCTACCCCAAGCTTTGACGGCAGGGGCATTGTACGCCCTGTTACTCTACCTGTTGAAAGACGCCGACTTGCTTGACGCGCAGAGAGATCGACTAGGTCGTATAGACCAACAGGGCGGCCACGACACCGACTCTTCGCCTGATCACGCTAACCACCCCGTTTCCCTGACAAGAGAGCTCGACGCATACATGCTCCCTTGCTCTCACGAGTCAGACGTGGACGTTGTCGCTTCTAGCTCGGACGGTCTGGTCACCCTCTCAGTCGGAATAGACAACACGCTTTGTCTGTGGAGGTTCAGGGCGCATGAGCCAGGTAGTGGGACGAGGGAGCTCCTGCCGAATACATTGTCCAATCCAGAAGATCCTATCGTGGCGGCTGCTGTGGAAGAGAGCGGTCAACATATCGCAGTTTGCACCGAGAGTGGCATGGTCCAGATCTGGGACATCGAGGCGGAGGGATCAGTCACACCTCTTCTTCCCTTGAAGCGGTCCGAAACTCGATATCCATCCAGAATTACCGCCTTGACATTCGACGAGCCGGACAGCCCCGGGTCATCTGAGGATCCCTTTACAGCCACACCAACCAAATTTATCGTCCCCGAGCAAGACATGACGTCGCCGACGGTACTGGTTGCTAGCAGCGACGGCTCAGTGTTCAATACGAAGACTGGAGAAGTGTTGATACCACCCGAAACATCGGATCGATTTGGTGTTCATACAACTTTCGTACGAACACAGGGACTACTTCAAATCCTGATGACTACCCCAGAGTCTGTACACATCTACCGTAGAACCTCATCCGGCTGGTTACCTACAACACTCACCTCAACATATCCAGAGGATCGAATGACAGCGATTTCATCACCGATCCCTGCGATGTACGGACTGTATGCCATCGGCCATCGCTCAGGCGTAATAGAGTTGATCGACGAAAACATCGGGCCCCTTACAACAATAGCACCGAGCGTGCCCCAACAATCCACGAAGCGAGTCGAGCTGCATCGCCCATCAAGTATGAGATGCCTAGGTTGTGGGACTATCTCCTCTGACGGATATCTTGTCGTCTCATCGACGATATCTCACATTTATATCGACCGAGTAGCCCCTCAGTCACCGACCAGCGTCTTCTGCAAATGTACCCATGCTGTCCGCAGAAGCTCGTCATTGGAAGATCCCGTGTCAGCATCTTCGCCTTCACGGCCGACCTCTTCTCGGTTGTCACAACTGAATACTGGCTTGGTCGTCCCACCTTCAAGCGTGAGAAAACGCTACTCTCCCGGTAGCTCGCCTCGAAAATCCCCTTCGCTCCTGCCGCCTGTATCGAACGGTGAATTCCCGCTCTCTTCCCACGGCGGATCTAGAAGACTTTCAAACCTGCATCGACTAGATGATGACCACTCGGCCAATTCCTCATTCAAAGGCGCATCACCGTTACCCATGGATAGGACATCCATATCTGCATCCAGTTCATCGCCTGCCGGCGAGATGGATGTCTCCCCCTTGGGCGCTATTTCTACGTCTGACGGCGCATGGGCAATCCAAGGAGACGTATTGATCGGTATTCGACGGATAAACGACGGTATCGACGATTCTCAATGGTCGGTATTCACCGTCGACCTCACCGCTCCCTTCAACGGATCAACTCTGGTAGTGGACCCGGTAGGACTGGGCGAATTAGTGGCGACCTCCGCTATGAATGTCGCCGCTCAGGTTCGTGGCCAAAACAGCCAAATCGGACCGACCACAGTATCGATGCGAGACAGGCGGACGGAGCGGATACACAGCTTGAACGGACGCGCATCCTTCCCCGAGCGAGCGGGAGTTGGTTCGTTCTCCGTGCCAACTTTTCAGGGGCTAGGGTATGTCGAGATCAGAGAGTTTGGCAAGTTGGGAAAGAGGGACGTCATCGCTGGATTCGGCAACAAGTTGGGAATATTGCATCTGCCAGAATCATCAAAGACCAAACCGCATCAATCGGGTCGGGACGTCACCAAGCTGACACCGGGAGGCTTGGGCCTCGGCTGCACCACTAGTACGCCCCTCCCCGCTTCGGCCACGAGGGCTGCATCATTCCCGACATCAACGCTGCGCAGACAAGGCGAATTCCCACTTGCACCTCCTCCGTCTAACGTTCTCAGAAGGGAGTCTGTTAAGAAGGACGACTGATAGATGGTATGGTAATCTTACTGCATCTATATCTCTTATAGCACATATCGTCTCGTCGCCTGTCACGAGGAGGCACTAAAATAGATCAAATCAATTGTCGTTTGAATCCTATGTATGTACAGTATGCCTCGATCTCTATGCCTGATTCTCTTCCTTCTGCGAATCATCTTCTTCCTCCTGCGAATCGTCTGCTTCCTGCGAATCGTCTTCTTCCTCCTGCGAATCATCTTCTTCCTCCTGCGAATCGCCCTCTCCTTCCTGCGATTCGAGAATCGCATCGTAAAGCGAATCCATGGCTTTGTCGACGAAATCGCAATATTTCTCCGTTGCCCTGTGGATGTCCTCGTTCGTCTTGATCATCGATATTCTGGGGGTGTCATGTCATGGTCCACCCATTCTAATATCAGCTGACTTGCTGTCTTATGAAGAGCTGTTCCGACGCACTCACATAGCAGCCATTGCGCGCTTGCAGAGGATCTTGTCCTCCTCGTCCATCTCATCGCGCATTGTTCTGACGTATTCGGCGAACTCGTGGAGCGATTTGAGAAGCTCTGAATTCGCCTGGGACATTGCCGGCTCTGCCGATCTTGCTTCCGCGACCATGGCCTTTCCCCGTAGTACGGTAAATATAGGGTGCTCGCCCTTCGGCAATCTTATGGTTGGATTCACACCAATTGCAGTCTGCATATCGTCTTCGGGCAGGGATTCTGGCACCTACAGACAGCAGCGGACAAGCGGAATACTAAGCTAACGGATTGTCGAGCAGGATCGAGGGATCATCTTCGATGATACAAGCACTCACGCCATCGACTGCCCCTCGATCAGTATTGCCACTCCCTCCCTGCTCTGGCATATGGTTGGATCTGGCGACAGATGGCAGATCCTGCAAGCCCGTCCTTGACACTGGCGTGATAATCCATTTAGATCTTTTGGTCATCGATGGCCGAACGCAAGCCGATTCAGGAGAACTTGGGGTGCTAGGGGGCTCGGAAGGTGTGGCAGGTCTTGTTTTCCTTTTTGTCGACTGTGTACCAGCTTCCATGAGCTCTCCGTTCGCCATTGCTTTTTTTTTCAATGGAAGAAGTCACACACCTCGACGACCCCAGACTCTTCTTTTTCTTGCTTGACTTGGACCTCGGTCTTACTCTGTGCGGCCAAGGGTTGAACCTGGTCATGTGAGGAAGAGGAGGAGGATCGTACGGATGGTTTGGACCTGATGTAAGGGCGATAGAAGCGATGTCATATTCTGAACGTCAGCTTCACTCGATGTCTGAGGCGTACAGAACAAGCACGACTGCACCGCACTCACTCTTCCTTGTGAACGGCGGCCTCAGGTTCAGACTCCCCGTGGTCAGCAAACTGGAGACCGTTCTTCATGTCGTCAGCTGGTTGGAGATTGTAGGAAGCAGGCCTCGTGTATGAATCTTGCTTATGGGTGAAACTATCTTTGTGGGTAGTCGCATGAGAGATGAAGATGACGAGAGTTGTGTTGCGTGTCGAGGTGTAGGTGCAGAGTCGAGAGTGCCAAGCACGCACGCATTGCCGCCTGCTTGTTTGCATGTTTGCCTCAATCAACTTCATTTGTCAATCAACCTCAATCAACCATCAATCCACGTCCATCAATGACCTCTTCTCGGACATGTCAGACATGAAGTCCGCACTCGATGCTCCGAACTCCACTCGACACCCTCGTTTCACTGTGAACACGGCGGAGTTAAGGTTAACCAATCCATCAAAACATCAAGATCAGCAATCAGTACATTAGCGCGTTGGAGCGTACTTGCTCACCACTCTGCAGGCAAGTCCGAAGTCCGAAACCGGAAATCAGCTATGCCGCATGGCGTCCCGAAAAGGCTCAACACTCGAAATCTGCCTCGCAGAAGCCGAGTCTGGTCATGTATCGAATGCAATTGTATCCGAGCCGCTGTTACCCTCGGACGACCCTTTGTTGCGCCGACATCTCATGCCTCCTCGTCCTTTTGGACTCGTTGTAGTTCTTTGCGACGTGGACGAGCGTTTGCAGGTTGTTTTCCATGGTTCTATATATATTAACAGATAAGAACCCGGTATCAAGGCCCTATCGTCTAGTGGTTAGGACGCTCGGTTTTGAATTCAGGACAATTCAAGACCGTCCGCGCAACCTGGGTTCGAATCCCAGTAGGACCTTACGTAATATGTTTTTGCACTCTAATCCGCTTTTTGCCCACCCAAATTCTCTTTTTTTGTTCACCCAAATTTTCTTTTTGTACACAACCATGATGCCACTTTCCCACATTCCTCTCCCGCGGCTTTCGGCCTTGGTTCATCAGCAGGACTGCGACTGCGGGTGGCGAAGGCACTGCCTGTTGCCTGTCAGTCGTGTCGCGGCCTCCGCGCGTGTTCACTAATGAGAACCCCGAACCCTGAATTCTTCTGATGGGTATGACGTCGATCCTCTAAAATGCCCAGCCACAGCCATTACACGAGGCAAGGCTTAGGCTTTAGTTAGGGCTAGCTTAGGTTTATACGGTTTATACGAGGTATGACTCAAAACACTGCATTCGGTCATGCACCATGCACGAGGTAATGTATATATATAGAGTGCATGGATGATCCTGGAGAGGTTGTATTTCGTTTCATCCCACGTATCATACACGCCCTATACACAACTTGTTATTCTCACCTAAACCCATCAATCGACGCACACAATGGCTTTCAGTGAGTTCTGAGACCAAGAGCTGCCTCAAGCACATGCGAAACGTTGCAATAGGGCAGTGTTGGCGTTAACGCAAGGAGGCGTCGCATGGTGAAACTGCTGAAGGTTTTGGGTCACTGACACCTGCGTCTGCTGTGCTGTTTCCCAATCAGCCTGCTCCGACATCATCAAGATCGTTCTCGCGATCATCCTGCCCCCTCTCGGTGTCTTCCTTGAGCGAGGATGTAACGCCGACCTCCTGATTAACGTGAGTTTGCCGAGGCTCTCTATCAAATTTACCATGGGAAAGTCCTGTCTGTGCTGGGAGGACGGTTCTTCGTCCAGCGATCATGCTTCGAACCTGGACAATCTGTCATTCACCCTCACTGTCCGAAATATACAGCTGTTGAGGGAAGGAGGGGTGTTGCGTCCCAGGTGTATATTTCGGGCATATGGGGGCGGACAGAGAGGGCCTTCAGAGTCGTTTTCTCAGCGTACAGAGCAGCTGACTTCGAGCTTTTCTCCTCTAGATCCTCTTGACCATTCTCGGTTATATCCCCGGTATCATCCACGCCTTATATATCATCTTGAAGTATTAAGCATCTCCGGCGCGCGCGACGGCGTTCGGAGGTGTCGGAGGGACGACGGAGGTGAGTTTAGGGTGGTGCGGAGTAATACGGTGTCAAAAGTGGCTCAATGCCGCATTCGCCGCTCAAACGATCAACGCGCGCGTCTGTATAGAGACTCGGTGCTGACCGTCCCCCCTTCCCCCCTTCTCTCTCGCGCAGCGACGGAGCGATAACACCTTATAGTACTGACAGAACGATGTAGGTCCGTGGATCGGGAAAGCAGGAGCAGGAGTAGAAGCAACAGGATACATGTAAATATCGATAATAATACCCTCCTATCACCTGATGGGCGTGGCTACGAGCTGTATATTACCCTACTTATGCACGTCACATGTAAGCCTAATCGATAACGTCATTATTGACTTCAGCGAGCGAGGCGGGCCAGTAACACTGAAGACTGACCGCCTGACTCATCGATGAAGGTCTCCCATTACCAACGGGTGTCCGTAGAGGGCTGATGGCGCGCACACTGTCAAGGGTCTGAGACGTCTTGCCCTGCCATACTTTGCATCTTCGTCAGAAGAACACGCACACTTCAAAACGTGTCAGATCGCTCACTCGAACCGTCTAATTGAATGTTGATACCGCACGATATTCATGAGAGATTAGTCATGCATAAATCATAAGAACCCGGTAGGGGTCATGCTGTGTATAGATGCGGGTGTGGTTTGAAGTGCTGAATGGCAATGCTAGTGACATGTATGCTGATGTGCTGTGATGATGCTGATGCTAATGCTACAACGGGGTGAATTCCTGCCTCCCTCCTCTTCCAAATGAGGCTGGCGATAGCATCTCTTGACTACCTTACTCTCCCTGCGTTTGACGGTATTACAGTTGCCAAGGGAACTGTTAGGAGGACTTGGTCAGCGCGATCAACCGTACTCTACTTGTCGTCGTAACTTACATCCCTTCCCTTCGCAATGTACAGCTCCTCCACCGCCTTCTCAGCTTGTTCCGTCCAATCCGTCTCAACTAGTATCCTATGCCTTTCCATAACAGCCTCCCGAGTCATTTGCGGCGCTAAAGGGCGTACAGCACAAGCATCATCCAATCAGCCCAAGCCCCCTCTTCCCAACTATTCGCTTCTCGCTCGCTTAGCAACTCACGGATATACCTCCCGATGGGGTTAGAAACGGCATCGCGCATAGCTTGGTTGAGCTGCTCCATGTTCCCCTTCTGGACGTTATACACATACGGCGCCGGGATCCCTCTCAGACCGTTATGCTGAGTTTGCCATAAAGTCCAATTGTCCGGATCGGTCTGGTCGAACCATGTTATGGGGTTGATGAATGGCACACCGAAGCAAAGCGCGTCGAATGCTGTGGAAGCGGTGCACAAGTCAGCTCGGCACGGTTACACGACGTTCACGGGCGTGTCAAATGGCCAAAAATAAAGACTCACGCGAAGGTGAAAGAGCGGGCTTGCCGACACCAAGCTGATCATGAACAGTTGCCGGAATGCGCAATGATCAGTACGATAATCTCACCACTACAATGACAGACGAAGCCGCGTATAACACTCACCAGGAACTTGCTCTCCGCGAGCGTCTGGAACCATCGATCCTGCTGCATCGTGCCCAAATTTCTAATTGGCCCATCGTAGAGGACTTCCGGTACGCCATCTCTCGTCGTACCGCCCGTAGCGATCATTTCAAATTCTACTTCTTCGCCGTGCTTATCTAAGCCAGAGGGCATGGAAGTGATGAGCTTGTCGAGGGAGTGGTCAGATCTCCACATCCAGTCTTTGAGAGTCGCGTTGAGGTATTGCGCCCGCTTGCCTAGGACCATGCCTCGGTGCTGCCGCGAAGAAGGGAGTTCGATGACTTTGCAACGGGATTCAATGGAGTAGCCTGTGCCATTCACCACAGACTGTATTAGCATGTTTGCTTTTCGGAGATACGATGGCAAAGTTGGTCATGGGAGAGTAGCAGAGTTCAGAGGAGATCATAGCTGTGCTAACGCCGTCCGGCTTACTCACCGAGATATCGATTCCCCGTGCCGTCCTTTGACCACTGCGAAAAGTCCTCTGGGGCCAGCGTAAAACCGTGTCCAAGCGGGTTCTCCGATCCTTCCCAGAAATGAAACGTGAAGCTTTTGCTGAGCGGGATGCCATCCTCGTACCCATCTCGCTTGATGCACCCGAATCCAGACCTGCTGCTCTTCTCGCCAGACTCCTTCTTTTCTTCTTGGATCTGTGCGTTGATCGCTTTCTGCCATTTGCCAGGTGTGTGGTCGATTTCGAGATCCTTCCAGTTAGACTCGTTTCGCTTCAAGCATGATTTCAACTCGGTTCCCTCCCAGATGACCAGTTTCACTCGGTCCTTCAAGCCTTGGTATAGTGTTAGAGTGTCCATAGGAGCGGTGGTGTACAACAAAGTGTAGTTGAGTGAGGTGAATGCCTCGATGCTGGACCTTGCCCTGCGACAAGGTACATGGAAGACAATGTCATTCAATATGTTGTTCCCTGGTGCCGCTTGGGCTCCATCGGCATGACTTACCAGATGTCTTCGCCGCCCGTCCGACCTTGCTGAGCATTAATAAAGTGGAACGAAGAGAGCAGAACGACCGTCTCTTCGCCTTTGCCGCAGGTATTATACTCTATGCAATGAGCAAGTCGCTCCAGAGCGGGCCCGTTGAGCGATCGCGCCGGTCTCTCAGGACTATAGCACCGTAAAGGGGAAGATCAGCTCTCGAATGCTCTCCGTGACAATGTCCAGTATAGCCGGCTTTACTCACTCAGCAGGATATCGCTGGTCAAAGGTACTCCTCAGCTCTCTCAACTGTAGAGCTTCGGCATACCGATCCCTTCCATCCATACCAAGCCAACCCTTGAGTTTGCCTACACCATCTGAACCAAAACCCCAGACGCCTTCCAGAGGACTAGGGGTGGGGATATGGTACGCTTCTACGTCGTCTTCGAAGGCCGTGGAGGGCGTTATCGCAAGATAGAAGAGGAGTGTGAGGGTGAAGAGGGTGGTGAGGAATGTGATAGAGATGGCGACGAGTCTATCGCATCGAGGGAAAAAAAGTCAAAGACCAGCTCAGGATCAGCTTGAAAAAGGGGGCACGCCATGAAACAGACTCACCTCGACTGCCTGGTGCCGAAAATGGCATGCACCAAATTCGTCTCCTTGTGATACATAATGCTTCCAGCTTTCATCCGAGCGGGAGTTGTGACTTCCTGACGAGTGATGTGAAAAGTAGATTTGACCTTCCACAGACAGGAAGATGCTCCTCGTCTTGAGGCGAGCTGAGACACTGTTGATGACGGAGGACTAGCAGATGGTGGATCGACGCAGCTAGCTAGGTAGCTGGCTTTCAGGCTAGTAAGTGGTAACGAGTGTGGTGTGTAAAGAGCGTGAGGGTCAAGGATCCTGAAATAATAGTAGCTGAGGAGGAAGTAAGGCTAAGTTAACACGGGCGTGAGTGAAGTCGATGACTTTGGTCCAATCTCGCCAAGACAGCAATGTTGAAGTAACAACGAACGTGAGTGCGTACGACAAGTCAGTAGAGAATCCACGACAGAGGTTCGTGACATTGTACTGAGTGATCATCCTGAGTCTGGTCTATTGTCGCCTGGCTATGTGTTGACATACTCTGCTAGGCAAGGTGGCCCGGCCGGGAATCCGAATGCGATTCCGTTCTCGCCCATATCGGTCACCAAAACCAATGCCAACAGACCACGGCAACAGCTCCTACTGCACTGTACTACAGGAAGCACTGGCGACTTTCACCCTCACCGTGAAACGCTAGGGCAGTGAACGATGATGAGGTAAATGAAACGATCCGACGAGAGATATCAACAGAAGGAATGAGACATGCGTAAACAAACAACAGAACAAACATTGCCGACGGTAACGTAAT